AAATAACTTCAGCAAAGAAGATTGGATGGTGCTGTATTTTTCGACGTTTTCTAAGAGACAGAAAACAGAACAAATGAGTTTGAATTTTTCGAGTCATAACACTATAATGCTTAACACGGGCGTGGTTAGGTGGGTCGGTGTGGCTGGTTTTGTGTTGGGTATGTGTGAATGTTGTCTTCACTCTTCATCCACACCCACACCTACACTCTTTATTTTCCAATTTTACCTGAAAAACTTTCAGAAAATAATGGTTTTATTATACATAGTATAATATTAATCATAATTAAAGTAAAAAATAAATCATTGGGTTTATCATTGGTGGATTTAATGTGAGATGAGAGTTACTTTTATTTATCTATGATGACAACATTATTTATTTCTTATGCTAAAACGACTGTCGTTCGGATCTTAACTCCAAAAAAAATAGTTACTTGAATCATATGTTAATTTTCCTATATTAAGTTCGTCATTACGAGAATTAGGAGGCTAAATATACAATTGAATTGCTCATACAGTTTTAAAAGAAACAATCTTTGGAACAATTCGATTAGAATTTTCATTACCAATTATTGCAGCATTGATAATATTTATCATAAGTGGTCTTCTTCTTGTTCATATCTGTCTCGCTGCTTTTAATAATAGATCATCAGCAATTCCAACATTCATATTTTTATTTTTACATAGTATTGTTTGTTATCTGGAAAAGCAATATGAAGATGAGCTTTTCTAAATATATCGGATGGAAAATAACTCATGTCTTTTTTCTTATTACATCACCGCTTATGTTTTAATCATTTATAGAGAAAGGATCTCAATTTTTCATGCTTAATTTTGCGCTATTAATGAATGTCGAATGCATACCAAAATTGCGTTTTGGTGTGGGTGTGGAGTGTTACTATAAGCTTTAAGGACACGCGCCCACACCACAAACCTTCACAAAAAAATCATTTCCAATCGTTTTCATGAAAGAATAGAAATGATTACTAAAAGCCCGTAAACAAAATTTAAAAGAAAAGGACATTAAAAGAGAAATAATTCTGCAAATGTGTCGTATTATTATTGCAAGTGTTTTTTTTAAATTTATAAATCGGAATTAAATTCATTCATTTGAAGTTTTGATCTAAAAAAGCAAAGTATATAATTTGGTGATCTTATCAAACTTGAAATTTGAAATCAATTATTGAACTTTTCAATTCAAGTGTTCGAGTAGTTAGCTTTTCGAATTTTTAATTTAGATAGTGTGTCTGTCTTTTTGTGGCGTCGAAACTGGAACGAAACATCTGCTTTTTGTCTCTATTTCCGGAGTACTATAACGAGTACTTGAAATTCAAGTTTTCAAGTTTGATATATATGAACTATTTTCACTAGGATCAAAAAGAATTGTATAAAGTCTCTTTGTATTCAGCTTTCACAGCTTTTTTCTTGCAAGAAGATATAACTCATCAAAGTTTAGAAACTCGAACAGTTCGTACAATTTGATTTCTTTTGCCAACCACCTTTTCTCACAGAAAATCTTTTAATCACAAAGGTCATGACAATTGTCATTATCATATTTACATGAAAATATTGACTTTTTCAAAGAAAATTGCATTTCACGATCATTAGATATAAAATCGAGAAAGCACGTACGTAGAAATTTTCAAATATATTCTTGTGTGTAGTTTTCAATTGTCTGTCGAATGAGCCATCGTTTAAAAACAAAGGATAAATCTATAAAAATTTATCGGCGTAATACTGCAAAATAAAGTTTTATTTACATGCGTTTGCCGTTTTGAGCCGTGTATAATGTATTTATGAAACATCTTTCAAAGATCGATGAGATGCATCATCGTAGACTTTACATTTGAATTCAATTCTTGTATATTTCGATGTCATTAGACCTTGAATACAAAATTCCAAAAACTTTAAGGTTGTGTCTCTTTAAAAATAAACATTACTCTAAAAATAACCTTGTTTTCAAGAAATACATGTGTTAACAATATGATGTCCTGGACATAAAGGGTGTTCCGGAAGTTCTGAAACGTTTTTAAAGTTCATTGTTCTCGTATTCAACAAACGTAAACTCTTTGAAACTTTGACATATAATTGCACATATGTAGTGCAACATAACTACAAAGTTTGAGGTCTATAGGTTCTACTATAGAGGAGAACCTGTAACAACACTAAGATGTACTATTTTTAAAATTTTCCTGTATTCGGGGTCTGCCAAAATATCTATATTTCGGCTTAGGTAGATAATAAAATCTTGAATTTTTTTTTAAAAGACACGCCGCGAAAAGCTCTACAAAAATTATAATAATAAATCCCTATTGAGTTGTGTTAATGGTTTCTGCCATACACAAAATGAAAAACTTGCATGATAGTACTACTTCTCACCATATTGTGCGTAATAAAAAATGTTTGGAAGACATTTTTGTTTTGCATGTATCTCAGCTTGAGAAAATGATAAAATCTTGATTTCTTTTTCAAAAGATGCACCTTCGAAAGCTCTACAAAAGCTGTATAAACAAATTCCTATTGGGAAGCAAAAAAGTCTTCCAAATCTTTTTGTATTACTCACAATATGGTGAGAAGTAGTACTACCATGTAGGTTTTTCATTTTGAGTATGACAAAAACTATTAACACAAGTCAATAGGGATTTGTTATTTCACTTTTTGTAGAGCTTTTCACGGTGCATCTTTCAAAGAAAAATTCAAGACTTTATCATTTACCTAAGCCAAGATATAGACGAAATAAAAAAATGTTGCACACCTCGAAGATGACCAGGAAAATTTCAAAAAATAGTACATGTCAGTGTTGTTACGGCTTCTCATCCATAGTGCAACCTATAGACTTCAAACTTTGTAGTTAAGTAATACTACATATGTACAACAATCTACCAAAGTTTCAACGAATTTGCTTTTGTAGAATACGAGAACGGTGAATTTTAAAATCGTTTCAGAACTACCGGGACACCCTTTATGATATGGCAGTACGTTGGAATATAGGAAAATCAACAGAAATAAGTTAATGTTTTAAAATAAAGATTATTTATCAGAATAAAAACTTTTATTTCGTTGTGATGTAAAAAGAATCGACCATAGCTGGCTATTATTATATAAGCTTTTTATTGATTGCATATTAAAGAACTATATGCCAGGGGGGGGCATCCCCCTTAGCCAAAAAACACCTGGAGGAGGTACGGATAACAGATTTTTTCGGGAAACAAAAATTATTTTTTCTGCTAGTGTCTATCCCCATAATGAGTCGGGCACCCCCCCTCAGAAAATTCCTGGGTACGCCCCTGCTATATGCATAGTCAAAATGTAGTAAAAGTATTTATGCAGGGGCTGGATATGTGTCCGCTTGTTGGCCAAACCATACACATGCATATCCTTTATAAACACCAACACCCATGGCTTTCATTGGTGTATTTTTGAAAGCACCTTGTTGAATTATAACATTGTTATGCCCTTCACTCTTTTTCCAACTATTAACAGCAACTGTTGGATTAACTGTCATTGTTTTTCTTACATTTTGTGCATAACCAAATGAAATTTCAAAACCATTAAATTTATAATTACTTATTTCAGATGGTTTACTCCACATTAACTGGGCTTGTGCATGATCAGGTGTATATCTAACTGGTTTCCATTTTCCTTTATTACTCCAGCTATGCATATTACCACCATTAACATCCGGATCATTTTCAATAACATCAATAGCATGTGTATGAGCAACATAAGCAAGATTAACAGATGGTTGAAGTAATGATAAACCATTTTGTTGACGATGATTATTAATAATTGTAAATATTTCTTGTTCTGTTGCATCCATCCCATGAAATAAGGACCTTTGTTCTCCATCAACTTTTAATTAGAAGAATGCAATTTAAAACTGATACAAGTATAGTTGTATTTAGTTCACTGAATGATTCTAGTATAGACGAACGGTTTTTCAAAAATGCGTTAGGACTTTGTTTTTTTCCGAATGAGGACTTATAAGGTAAATAAACTGAGCAGCGTGTTAGTACTAATGTAAGATTTTCTAGGTATTGATCAAGCCAACATTTTGGCGATTGCGAGTCATAAGTATTTATGAATATATCGTTTCATTGGTACTTAGTGGAAAGATAAAACAACAATACTATCACGATTTCTCCCACCATGTTCATTGTAATCACAACTCCTATCACCATCTAGTCAATGTCATCATTTTCATCATCATCATTCGTAGCTACAGTTCTTACAAAGAATAGTACTGATTAAGAATGAGAGATATGATTAAACTTCACAGTTACACGTTGTCCTTGTTGAAAGTATATTTTAAAGTAAAATGACATATCTATTACTAATGTGTAACACAGCGAGAGAAAAATATCAGAACGTAATCAAAGAAGTATCTCAAAATCAACCATACTGGACAACCATCCTTGCATATCTGGTTTAATAGACACACAAGTAGACAGGCTATGTTTTATACTCGGATGTAGCGGCGTAACCAGAAAATCGTGGGTGAGTGGGCGGTGCCCCACTCTCTTACAAAATAGGTCTGCAATAGTTGCAAGTCTTATTTCGAATTTGTTTCACTCATGGTAAATTCTTACTGTGAATAGAATCTAGTTTCTTTCCACAATTTTTAGTTTAGAAAGAATGAAACAAAATAATTTGCATGTTCTTTTATTAAATAAATTATATAAACATCAAAAGACAAAAATAGTAGAAAAACTAGTGCTCATTTCAGTAATATTCTACTGTTTTTATGTTGATTTGCGAATTCATCGATGATGTTTTCATAATCAACAATGATATCTCTTTCTATAGCCAACAATGACAGGTCACTTAATCTAGTATCAGACATACTATTGCGCGCCGTTGTTTTTATGAGTTTCATTTTGCTAAACGTTCGTTCAGTGGTAGTAGATGATACTGGCAGTGTAATAGCACCTGTAAGAAGTAATAAAGTAGTTGGAAAAGCTTGATGAAATGGTAACGTTTCATAATATAAATCAATTACATTTTTTGACTTCGATTTTTTTAACATTGGTTTTAATACTTCAATTTCATTGTTTAGTAATACAGCGTCCTGATGAAGCATTATACACAAAGGTTTTAATTCTTCTAATTTTAAAAATGTTGCAGCTTCAGGTGATAAAGATGAGACACCACGAAGTATATCGATGTTCGTTGTTGAAAAACGATATCTCATCTCCACAAGAATCGAGTCAATGACTGGATAAAAGATAAACGTTCTATATTTAGATTGAGTATCAATATTTTCTCGTTCACCAATAGTACTCGTGACTAGAAAATCTTTAAATCTTGTTGAAGTTGTTTTTAACCGTTTCTCTTTCCTATTGACACCTAACTCAATATTATTACTAGTACAAAATTCAGTAATTCGATCAAATATTTTAGAAAACTCTTGTTCATTTCGAAGTGCATCAATTTCATTCATAACATTGCTAATTAATTTATGAGCTGTACCAAAATCTAATGATTTGGCTGCAACAAAGCAAAAAATCGATTAAAATGAGTGCAGAAACTGATAACTTTATTCGACTTCAAGAAATCTTACATTTCAATTGGTCAGATAATATTTTGATTTTACCAAGAATACAATGCAGAATAAAAATTGTTACAATGAATAAAGACTCTTTCAATGATAATAATAGTCCTCTTGCATCTATTGAACGTTCAGTACTTTCATTTTCTAGTTCATCTAAACTTAATATTAAAGCTTGATAATTTTCTATAATAGAGTGAATAGATGTCCAACGACTATCCCATCGTGTTTCAGCCCAAGTTTTAATGGTGGTGATGCACTGCTTAGAACAATCTTAAAAAACGGTTTTTCAGGCATGAACTTGTTTATAAATTCAAAAGTCTCACCTAATTTTAGCTGTTGTTGAACATGTTTAAATGTTTCATTGCAAACACTTGATTGATTAAAATACCGATTGATCTTACTTATAATTGAATAAAATTCTGATAGATAAGGTACACCTTTTGTAATATCACATATAACTAGGTTTAACTTATGTGCATAACAATGCACATAGATCGCATTAGGAATATATCGTTGGCGTAGCAGTGCTTGCACACCAGCGTGCCTCCCGGACATAACAGAAGCACTGAAATGAAGAACAGATTTGTCATATAATATTCAAATAAATAGATGTTATCTAACTTACCCATCAAAGCAAATAGCTATACAGTTTTGTATGTCAATATTCACGGATAACAAAAAACGAACAATTTCATGCGTCAAACTCTCAGCATCAAAATCATCAAGTTTGATAAAACCAAGGAAAAATTCTTTGACTGGTGATTGTTCACTTTGGCCTTCATTCATGTTCACATTGGGATCAACAACACGTACCACAATACTCAGCTGTTCTTTTCCAGATATGTCTCTCGTTTCATCAGCCATGAGAGAAAAAAAACGTCCTTTGATCTATATATAGATAAATATAATCATATCGTTTCTACAATCATGTAAAACCTAGCAGACTTTTTCAGAGATTTTCTTTCGAATATGAGTAGCCATCAAACCAATTAATTCATTCTGTATTAATGGACTAAGATAATTAGAGTTTTTTGCACTTTCATCAAGAATAGTTGCAGCAATAGGATCATCAGTAGCTGCCCAACGAAGCAATTCTAAGAAGTTACCTCTATTTGATGATCTAAAGAATATGAGCAGAAAATAAGAAAAAAAATTATTTATTTCTCAGAAATACTTTTACCCTTCACTTTCATCATGCCCTCTTAAGGCTATCATCTGTCGAGCACATAAATGTAATAAACATACAATTTTCATCAATTTCTGACGATTATTTTTTATTGCTTCTTGTCGAGATTTGTCCATCACATGAACGACAGATGAAGAAGACTCTCTACGTAGAAGATATTCTTTATAATTCTTTTCAGCTATAATATGGCACCGGCTAGTTTGATGTCTTAAAAAACCTTGTTTCTTACAGAACGCTCGTTTCCATCGCGAAAATCCAACTAAAAACGCATCAGATTGATCCTAAATGTCGAATGAAACAAAAATGTTTTCAGAAACGGCCCAACTATTTGATGAATATCACTTACTCGGTTACTCAAATTCGAACCATTCAAGAAATGTCTGCAGTAGAAGCAGAAAGACAAATCTTTTTCAACAGAATATTCCAACCATACAAACGCTGAGAACCATTTGCTACGAAAACATCGTTTGTCTTTGTTAATCGGATAAGAAACAAGTTTCGGCTGTGTAGGACCTTCATCATGTGAACGACTAATATCTGTAAAACGTAATACACATATGTTTGAACATGATACTGATGAGGATAATGCTTCTGAACGCGATGAAGATTCGTCTTCTGGTTTATTTGTGAAAGACGAGAGTGTTTTCGTTATATGCTCATCGTTGATAGAAGACAATAAGGCGTGTTGCTGTATATTTACCACTAATTAGAGAAATTTATAAAAATTAATCTTGAATATCAGAAAAAAAATATTTACTTGAAAATGAAGATGGAGATGTTACTTGTTGTCGAATGACAGACAATGGTGATAATGGTCCTATTTGTTGTTCTAAATATAATAGTAGAAACTTTTAAAATTAATATTGAATATCAGAAAAACAATTTTTACTTGAAAATGAAGATGGAGATGTTACTTGTTGTTGAATCATAGACGATGGTGATAATGGTCCTATTTGTTGTTCTTTTTCTTCTTAATATAATAGTAGAAATTTTTTAAATAATGTTTTAATGGTGGTCGATGATTCGTTTTTACCTGAAGATGATGGTGATGGTGAGAACATTTCTGAACAGTGTTCAGCTTCAGTAGAAGTTATGAACGTTTCTGGTTTCATTTTTTTCTCGACTTTAGTGCTGAAAAAGTAGTCAATGGTACCACGTTTTAAATTTTTATTCTCGGATTCGTAGTTTTTACTCATTATATGACTATCTATTCTTCAGCTTTATGTAGGTTGTTAATGATTTTTTTTAAAGGAAGAAAAGAGAGGAAGAGTGTACAAACGACGAATGGTACTTGGTAATCTATAATATTAATCAGAACTGGACAGTATAGACGTCACTAGTTGGTTGGATCTCAATTTTGATATCTATGTAATATGCTAGGACAAAGAAAATGTCTTAGTATTCATTCAATTTTTTTTCACCGGTGAGTGGGCAAAGATCTCGGGTGAGTGGGCGCCGCCCACTCATGCCCCCCCTTAGTTACGCCGCTAGTTTTAAGCAATCGTATGTGTTTTGTTTTGAGAAAAGGATAAGTATGGTTTTCGTCAGCATAATCGTTCTTCAACTGTAATACTTTAACATTTGAAAAGTAATACTCACATGTATCGGATATAGCATTGAAATACAATTTTAAGCTGGTAACTTTGTCAAATGAGTTAAAAATTAGGACTTGTTGTAGGATATACTATAAATAAGTTCGCAACTGTCTGACATGCTGTATCCTGTATATCAATGATGTTGTTGATGCCAAAAATCACTCTGGAAATATTGAAACTTATCAGCAATGGCACTGTTTTTATAGACTAATGTAGAATGAAATTTAAAATTAAAATAAATTACGAAATGTAATGAAGATGTAATCAAATGTTGCCAACGACAAGCATCAATAAACTCTTTATGATCATGGGCCGATATTTTCAAACTTCTCAAGTTTGGTGTTTGTCTGAAGAGCATTGCAAGAAAATCAAATCCAGCGGTAATTTGATTCAAAATCAATTGTTTCAAATGCACAGCGACGTATTCATTAATATCAAAGCTACTAGATTCAGATAGGTGTTCAATACTGAGAGATTTTAACTTTGGTAAATATAGAAATAATTGACTTAATTCCTTTGCAGAACATTGATTGATAGTTAAATTGATAACCAACATAAATTGATCATTAAACACTGGTTTCAGTTCTAGTTTTGGAATTGATAATAATGTTATAGAAGTTGTCGGCAGTGCAGTCAGTATTTTATCAGTTCCATCCGATGAAACCGTCAAGTAAAAGTAATGTAGATTAGATAAGGACGATAACATTTCTTTTAGTCCACTAGCATCATGCTCATCGATTTCAATCAGATGTAGCGAACGAAGATTAGGAAACTCATCGAGTGAAAAATGCGAAAAAAATGTCGCTATTTGATTATTTGCATTCATGTTTGACAATTGTAAGAAAACAATCTGATATTTGATTAAGGATTTCAATGCCATTTTTTGGCAAAATTGATGAAAAGTTGATTTTCTAACATGTTGACAATTGAGATGCAATGAAATATTTCGAATAAGCTTGTAATATCGATAATTGAGAAAGTTAAATGTATGAAAAATATCTGTTGCATTCAGATATTCAAAGCATTCAATGAGTATCTCGTTTGATAATAAATGAAATTTCATAACTGTCTCCATTTCACTCATGATGGAAAGAATGCTTGGTTTTTACACAACAGCAAGATACGATCCTTCTGACATGTCTTGTCAACTCATGTCAGAGATAACGAGTCAGAAATAAAAACATTTCGTCACACACTATCGAGCGATGAAAGACTCATTTGACTTTCTTTAGGCTCTGGTTTCTTAGTAATACAAGTGAACATTTATATTCGTTTATTAATGCCACAATATGGATCTGTACTAATCGACGGTGTAGATGTAACACTTCTTTTCGCATCCACCCACACTATATGAAAGCTTTCAAAACTTATCATTCACTCTATCATATATCTTTTCCTTTCTTTCTTTTCTTTTCCGAAAGGAAAGTGAAAGTGTCATCTACATCTTCTGTTCTCGTTAGTTTAATATTCAAGTTTATTTTAAAATATTTTCATACTAAACAATCCAACCAAACTGATTGGGTGTGGATGTAAGATAATAGAAAATTCAAGTCCCGCACCAAACGCCAACACCCCGTGGCAACACATGTGTGTCACGTGTATGGATAGTGTTAAGTCAAACAATTAGGGCGACAATGTTAAAACCGTCCTCCCTCTCATACAGACATGCTATTTCTTGATTTTGCCACAGACTGTGATAAACATGACGAGATTTCTCTATCATTGTTGAAGTATTTTCATCGTATTTCATATTTGTTTTCCGTACAGATTGCACTGAAAACTAGTTTATTTATTAAAATCGTTCTTTTTCATGACTTTAGAATGTCATTGATACGATACATATGACATAGAAACTTGACATCGATTTTTTTTGCGCACGATTTCGACAAAGTAAAAAATTAGGTAATTGTTGTTCATGAACGAAATTCAATGGGCATGAAAGTTTCTTAATAAATAAAGAACTCAAGAAATTGATTTCAGTTTGAAATTGAGCAAAAAGAAAGAATTCACTCAACTTTTTTCTTCGATTATTACGAACAAGTATGCTTTTGTCAGACATGATTATTTTAGTTGAATACACAAGTGATATATTTTTCTTCTAAATCTAAGTCTTGTTCACGTCATCATAAGAATGAAAGTATTACATTTGATAGTGACTTGACGAGCGTGATTCACAAAAAGCGATGTAACTTATTGAAATGCAGTCGTTTTACTGATATTTCAGTTTTTACCTGTGACTAGAAGAAGAGTTATCGTATGCTAATAGGATTTCAAAGTACCGTTGATAATTATTTTTTTTTAAACTTTTAAACTTATGTTACGACTCTTCAATTAAGTTCAGGTAGAACGTTGTGTATGTCTGAAAAAAAAAACAATGCAATATATGCTGCCATCTCGGCGAAATCAAACTATAGGAATACTCATGCTATTACTAAAGTTTACCACGAGTATAAGATTTGATTAGATGATGCTTTCAACTTGAAAGTAATGACACATTGGACTGATATCAAGTGGCTTATACTTATGAAATAATTCATTGGTGTATGACTTCTCAGTTTGTTAACATTGAGTTAGTATCTTGTGTTGATCAGTTTTTATGATGATGAAAATAATCTAGAAGATGTTGGCTATAACAGAAAGCATAATAGAATCGTACTATAATTGTAAAAACAGCGAGAATTAAGAATCATTCACTATAGATGATGTTATTTCTTCTCGTCGAACAAATTATGGTATATACATATATTAATAAAGGTACATTGCTACTTTTGAGCTTGAAAAGTCAATTTTCACACTCTTCTTATTCAACGTCCGGTGTTAGTTTCCATTTTTTCCTTTCCGCTGCTTGCTAAGTATGTCTTTCTGTTTTTCTTGAAAAATAATTCTTCTATCGTACCAATAGCAAGAGTTTTTTCGTATTTGATCATAGTACAAAGACAATCTCTTCATCTATACTCGCTAATCGATGCTCTTTGATTTACGTGAAACCAAAAAATAAACATGATCGCTGCTTCTGGATTGCAAAGCGATAACATATTATTATCATAATGAAAGAATGAAGCTATTGTGCATTAATATGAAGTTTGTTTCGAATATAAAATTTGAAAGTTGATTTTTCGGACGACCTTTATGAACTGTAAAAAAAAGATTTCTGTAAAAATCTACATATTATCATTTGTAACATAACAATATCGAGAAGAATTAATTTATCTTTCATTAAATCATTTGCTAAAGTCTGTTCATTACAAAATTAATCTAAAAGGTCAATATTTTATTTTTGACAGAATAATTAAACTAAATAAGTATACGCTAATACAACACATTGTTAATGTCAAAAGAATACTTTCCTTCATTTATTTTTTTCTGTTGAATAAATCTAATATTTATTCTAGTTTAAGCACTCTATGATCTTTGAGTCATATACCATGTACTATCCATCTAAACAGGGAATTAAGGGTATTTTATGTTTTATTTGGTTATAGCATTCTTTGTGACAAAATATTTTTTTTAAATATTCTCTAAGACAACGATCTCTTGCAATATTTCTGTATATGACTATAATTTCTTTTGCTTGGATAACAATTTTTTTCTCATAAAGAAACATATTGTCTGTAGGAATTTTATATCGTCATTCAAATATGAAAAAAAAAACTGATAGTCATGTGAATGTTACATATAATTATTTTTAAATAACGGTCTTTTATTCTTTTCTTCTCGCCAAGGTTTATTCACTACAAAATATAAATCCGCATATGGTGATCACACTAGTTTCACTTAGGTGGCTCAAATATTGATAAAAAAATGATATACAGTAAATATCGATACGAAAGATTTATTAACCATTGATTCTACCATTGAGATCGATAAAAAACAGTTGTATGTACTATTACAGAGAAATGCAAGATAGAATTCCAAGATGTTTTCAAGTGAAGTAGTTTTGCATAGGTTCATATCAGTCGTACAAAATTGTATACATCATAGGTATCAAATTCACCTTTTTTTCCTACTTTACGTGGAGACAATGATGTCTCTACGATTTTTTCACCGTGAGAGGCTCGTAATAGAGTTTAGCTGGCGCAACTCCGTTCGATTGGGACTTAGTCATCTTTGATAAAGCCACCAACTGGAGATCTCAATACGTCTTTATCTTAAAGCATGAATAATAATACTTAATGATATAATAGATACATTCTCATTTCAGTCAATAGAAGAAATATTTATTGTTCTTTCATTCGATGCTAACGATGATTGAGCGTTCGCTCTAATTCATAAAAATAGAGAGTAAGAAAATGTCAAAAAAATAATTTGCATAGACAATATGAAATTAAGTTGACTGACATAAATATCACTTTTCTTTCATTGTACTACTTTAGAAAAAGTCATAATAAAATAAATATTAACAAAGCCCTCGAAAACAATTTATATATAAACGACGCTATATTTTTTTTGTTCTACACTTTGATTCTCGTTGTTCTTGAAGTGATATATGGCTGATGTTTCGCTAAATGATAGCTTCATCGTTGAAGTTGACGACAACGAATCTTCATCGGTTACAGTATTATACACCTCTGCACCATCAATAGTTTGCTTGTGGATTATACTCATATTTTTAATACCAGCTATAATCTGTTCTTTTTTTCTTCTCTACAATTTTTTCTTTGATCGAAGACTATTACATGCATTAAACAATCATTCTCTTATTGCTCTTCTCATCGTTGGTCTATTCTCTTTACCTCTTGACATTCCAAACTATCTTAATTTTATTCGTCTAGGTTATGTTTGGCCTCAAACAATAAGCATATGTTATTTATGGTGTTTTGTGGATTTATCTTGCTTCTGTTTAATTGGTTATCTTATGACTTGGGCTACCATCGAAAGACATATTCTTGTATTTCATAATAATTGGATAAATACTCAGATAAAACGTTTTCTTATGCATTATTTACCACTGGCAATAATCATTCTATATGGTTTTGGCTTTTATGCTATTGTCATATTCTTTCCATTATGTGAGAATGAATTTGATTACATGCAAAATTGGTGTGCTTTTCCATGTTATTTTAGTCAGACAAGTATCATGATGTATGATGCTTTATTCAATTGTCTTTTACCAACTCCTCTGATAGCTATCACCAATAGTTTACTAATTATTCGTGTTGTCAAACAAAAACAACGTCTTCATCAACATATGAAATGGAAAAAATATCGAAAAATGATTTTACAAACAATATTATGTTCAGCATTTTTTCTTATATTTAGTCTTCCTATGACAATACTCATTCTCGTTCATGTATGCGGTGTACCATATGAAGCAACTGGTCAAGTTGAAGTCTATTTTTATTTTATATCGTATTTCATCAATATTTTTATTCCTTTCGTATGTCTTGGTTTGTCGCCGGAGATCTGGATAAAAATAATGAGAAGAATGCAACGTTCCACAAATAGAGTTACTACAGCAAATATTACATTGCGTCCAATTACGATGAGACAATCTGCATTCTAATGATGATAGAACATTATTTTGTCATTGAAGTATATATGAAAATTTAACATATAAAAATTTACATAAAATGCAATATGTGTAAAATTGTTATATCATTAAATGTATATTATGACTTACAAACTTTTGCAGCTCTTAAAACACAAATAAAGATTTTAAAATATGTTAAATGTCGTACGGTTTGAATTGAATAAAATAATTTCTTTTTGTTTCAAAGCAAAAAAAAAGAATGTAGTTTGAGTTTTTAGAAATAAAATTAAACCAGATATGTTTTCACTACTTTTCTTCTTTTTGGATATGTCTGCTTACAAGTGGTGTTCATAGAAAAATCTTTCTAATGTTTCACCGCATTGTTGTCTATGATCTATAATGATCTAGCTGTGAAAAAGTAGCCTAAGAACTATTTGACAAATATCGAAAGACTGATTGGTCTAGTCTTTCTGGTTTTCGAATGTTGATGAGATTCATCTTTCTTTATAAACATGATGTTCTACATTCACCTTCATTCAGGATCAGCTCTTATTGATGAACTCGATCTAATTCATTTGTGTTGCATTTGTTATTTCGACGATGTTATAATAAAAATACGAAAACATTGAACATCATTGAGAATACAAAAAAAATGAGTAGCTCGATATCTCTTACTACTTTTGAATTCTCCTTTACTGGAATCTCCTCATCATGGGATAGATTAATCTATGTTAAAATTCTGAAAACTTCGATTAAACACTATAGTACTTTGTTCTCGAATTCAAGTTGAGACAAGTTTTGTTTTTGTTGCTTTTCCTGAAACGATTTTCCATCATTTTATCACCATTCTTATATGCTGGTTAGCCGTCATTATGAGCTATAAAATAGTTTAATATTAATAACAGATCATTGAACTGCAGTTATAAAAAGATTAAAAGAAAATATGTGAGAAAAAAAAGTGACATAAATTTTTCAAATTTTCAAAAATATATATCTTATATAAATAACAACTGATTTATATAAGGTATATATAAATCACAAAATCCAAAAGTGATTTTCGCAATATTTGTATATTAATGAAAGTTATTGTTAATAAGCATATCACAATATCTGTGATTATGTGTAATCATTCTTCTGATCATTTTTGTTGATATTCCCTCATGGTTACTTCCACCATCACCAGAATTATCACTACTATTGCCAGGATCAATGTCCATTTTTATTATAATACGACAATTAAAAACAATTAAATAAATCGCTATTGGTAAATGATAACCCGCGATGCAAAAGTATCCGTACAAATGTCTGAGGTTATTACGCAGCGAAGATGAATCATAGAAATCGAATTAACATGTCTTCTGATAGAGTGAAATG